GGAAGAAACAGCTGCGATCACACACCACTCTTAGAAGCACGAAGCTGAAGACACCAGCCTGAAGATGACGAATGTGACTTCGTCGAAACGTCGCCAAGGTACTTTTAATTCTACGCGGGAGAAAACCCGAATAACTAAAGACCTACATACAAACACCCGCGAAAACCTCAGAAAACATATATATATATATATATACACATACATACATACACACATGCACATATACATATACATACATACACACACACACGTGTGTGTGTGTGTGTGTGTGTGTGTGTATGTATATATATATATATATATAAAGAATACTAGTAAAAATACGACTCTTGGGAATATCCATTCGTTAAAATAATGATCACCAAAAGAATACTTAAACAGAGTTTAACTAATCAACCTAGCTTTCGTCAAAATACATATGACATCGTCCGGGTTAAAAGGCAAGTAAAAGGAGGGGGGGACTTATATACCGTTATCAAACGTCCTGTTATCAAGCGTCTGCTTCCGGCTCTTGGAGCGTTATAATTCAAGCTTACCTCCTTTAACATACATTCCTTTGTTACTAGCTTGCATTCTATTAATTGTATTAATCCCTGCTAAAGTGAAACTAACTTAACTCCAACTCCTTGTGAAGCTAAAATGAAACTAATGTTTAGATGATCCTGACTGTTAACTCCAACTGTTTTGGAGGGAAACTTTGAACATTCATATTTGGGCGGGCTTTTTCAAGTATTGTGATTGGTTAAGGCCCTGTGGGCTAGGCTATAAATTACAGGCTATTGCCTGCAGTTCTCTAGTCCTAGTTTGAGTCAATAAATAAAGTTGTAACTATACTGGTCTACTCCTTGCCTACTGAAACCCACCACACAATAGAACTGGTGACAGAACATTTAGCTACTGTGAGTGAATATAGTCTCAGGGTGCTAAAGAAACTGCAGGTGTGATCTCAGAACTACTGACTGTAATCTTTGAGAATTGCTGGAGGTAAAGGGAATGTGCCAGAGGACTGAAGAAGAGACAATGTTGTTCTATTAAAGAGGGGGAAAAGCAGACCTAAGAAACTACAGACCATTTGCAGAGATCGTAGCAAAGATTATCAAGCAGTAGGTTTGCAAGCATTTAGAAAGGAACAAAATACCTAAATTATACTTTTCTCATTTATAGATCAGCTGGAAGAAAATTGGAAGAGTTTAGTGTTTCAGTTAATGTTGAAGCAGAAGGTAAAGTTAACTTTGAATTGCATTATGAGCAACTACTCGATCGTAAGCTAGGGAAATATGAATTGATCACCAAAGTCAAGCCCAAACAACTGGTGAAAGACTTTCAGGTAAAAACTCCACCAACAGTTTTGCCCATTTGTCATTATCCGCTCATATTTAGAAGGTAGGACCCAATCACATCTTTTGCTTTTGCTTATACTTAGATTGATACTCACATCTTTGAGCCACAAGGCATAGCCTTTTTAGAAACGGAAAGCAGCTTCTTGAGCAATGAAATGAATGATGCTCTCATAAAGACACAGGAGGAGACCAAGGTACATGGCTGCATTTGACCCAAAACTCCTTAGAAAACTCTAATAACAAAAAATCACTGTTGTATTAATAGTTTGCCTGACATGATTTTTATTTGTCTTTAATGTTCAGGCTCATATTTCATTTAAACCAACCTTAAGTCAACAAAGGAAAAACCCTGAGTCTGAAGAGACTCTTCTAGATGGAAATTTCATCATACGTTATGATGTTAAAAGGAATGTTCCCGTAGGTGACATACAGGTAACGTGATGTTTTTAATTCATCTGTGAATCCAACAATGGCCATTATCTAGGGTCTATCCTGAAATTTTCCAGTATCATAAACATTAGGCAGTAATGGATAGGGTGGGGGGAGAGGAGTTATGCCATGTTCTCAAGGTATTGCCTTCATCTTATTCTTGGCTCTGAGCTAGGGCAGCCAAGTCATTTTCAGCTTTAAAGTTTTAAAATTTTCCCTCTTCTGCTGACAGATCCTTTGCATGGATAAGATCTAGCTTCCTTCATGTACTTGCTGATGAGATCAGGGATTGAGATTTATCCCACTCCTGTTATTTTAGGTTATTGCAGGTCTGCTTCCTCCTCTGTTCTTTGGACATTGACCTCTATGGCCATTTTGGCCTGGGCTGCAAGAGGCACTGAAAAAGGGCCTTATGCAATGCTCTTCTGAAACAGTGTTAGACACACATTAAAAAAAACAAGACTAGCATTCTTTGGAACTGGTATTACCTGGACGCTTAGTGTAATTTAAACTAGGAAAGAGAGCCACATTCTTCCAGCTGTGTATTGCTGCTTCTGTCACAAATAGGAGTTTCCAATTGCTTCTGTCAACAAAGGACAGAGATGCTTTTATTACTTGATGGGAAGACCTGGTGCCATTTGGCCTGTTCCACAGCCACTTGCTGCTATACCCTTGCAGTGCTATTCAGGGGTGGAGCTCTCTTGTTTTTGACTAGGCCGCCCACCTCAGACCTTTCCCTCATCATCTGTTAGCTGACAAGTTAGTTTTTTTAGAAGGATCTAGTGTTCTTTCATGACTCTTATCCAGAAATCACCCAAATGACAAGCCAATGGGTTGCGCTCAATGGGAAAGAAAAGGAAACCCAGGGGAACCCACCAATCCCTCTTCTCATGAAATGATCAGGACGGCAGCACTCGCTGTCCTCTTGAAATGTGTGGCATATTTTTCTGTCTGCTCCTGGACTGGAAGATGGTAGTTTATGTGGCTGTCTCACTGTGTCTTTTAGTATACTTAGCTGAACTCTTAGCTTTGAGAAAGGGTCATTTAGAAAGGCCTCATCCTCAGTTTTGGTCAGTGATTACAATTCAATGATTCAGAGTAATGAAATGTGAGCCCAAGTGATATAAACAAAAACTAACCTTGTTTGTTCAAAACTTACTGGAAATGTAATAAAAGCCAACTCTTGAGAATATCAGTTTATTTCCCAGATCTCCCAGATTCCATCATAAATTCATAGTAATTATGCTATATTCCCATTTGTACCTATACCACAAACCAGTCCCATTTTTTCCCCCAGTATCTGTCTAAGACAGACATGTCAAACACAAGGCCCGGGGGCTGGATGCGGCCCACGAAGTGGTTTCATGTGGCCCGCAAAGCCATCCTGGAAACAGTGAGGGAATGGCCCCTGCTGCCTTGGCTCTGGCTGTGAGCCAATGTACAATTTTGTGGTGGCCATCTATGCAGAAATGCATTCAGTCTTAGCTCCACAAGGCCATCTGGAAACAGCAAGGAACCAGCCCCGGCCATGTCAGCCCCGCCCTTTGGCTCCATGCTGGAGAGGTGTCACCCTTTGTGAGAAATGAAGAAATGCGACATTGCTTGGAAGTGGCCAGCAAATGGCCCTCACCTACTTCACATATTTGGCTTGGTGGGCTCCGAGGGAGGGGTTTTGGCAGGCAGCGAGGCGATCTCCTCACAGCACCGAGGGGCTGAGCTGGGCAGCGCGAATCTGATGAGAAGTGCAATGCTGCCTAGCCCCCAGCCTGCCCAGTTTCAGCAGGCAGCAAGTTGCAAAGCTGGCGATGGTGCATTTCTTCATTCCTCACTGTGGGATCGCTCGGATCCCTTGGTCCTGCTTCCTGCAGGATGATGGTGATGTACGTCAGCCTAGACCAACGGACCTCGCTTTAGGTTAGGAAACACACGGACAACATGTTTCTTCAGGTGAGATGACATGCGAGAGCCCAGAAGGATCTGCGTGCCCCTCTTTTATTGGTACATAAACGTCATAAGGGGGTGTACAGAAAGGAAATAGGGGAATGGGTCTTCATTACCATATATGGAATACACAAAGAACAGGAAACTTGAAACCAGGAGATACTAATTCATTCTTTGCTTATGTATCAGAAACTAAGTGTCTTCAAGGCAGGCTTTTCATAGGAAATGAAACTTAAGTCAAGAATCAAAACCTAAGGCAGGCTTTGCATGAGAAATGAAACTTGAGGCAAGAATCGAAACCTATCTTGTCAAGGAAACAAATGGATGCAACACCTCACGAAGGGTGACACCTCCCCAGCTGGATTTCTTGCCTGTTTTTCTCCCTCCCTCATCTCAAATATTTTCCCACCACTCTGTACTTAGGAGGAAGGAAGGAAGGAAGGAAGGAAAGAAGGAGGGTCTGAGGGAAGTCCTGCCTTAGTCCTGCCCTGCTGCCCTTTCACCATCTCCTTGCCTCCTCCTCCTGGCCTATCCTGGGGTCTCCCATCCTATTGCTAAGGAAGCTTTGGATACGAAGCCAGGTCTTCTCCCATGTAGAGGGAGTGGGCCTCCCTCTGACTTTGCCCTTGTACCCATCATGAGAAACCTGGCTAAGGAGAGCAAGCATAGCAGCAGCAGCTTTGAGGAGGAGGTAAGTGCAGCTGGGCGCCCCCTTGGGGAAGTGGGGCTGGGCTTGGTGCCGCGAGTGCTCAAGGGCCAAGCTGGGCATTTGACTTCTGCTGCCCAGGGCTCCGGGCAGCCCGCACCACCATCCAGCCCTCTCCCCCACATGGCCTGAGAGAAACAGTGAGGCTCCTCCAGTGGACCATGCCTTGGCACTTGCCCTGGTCCCACCCCCTACTGCCAGAGACCCTCAGATCTGTCCCACTCCTGCCCAGGCCCCCACAGGCACCCTTGATGCAAACGATGTAGAGCTGGCCACGCCCACCCAGTAGGCCACACCCACACCATCCACACCCACCCAGTAAGCTGCAACCCCATGGCCAGACCCACCTGGCCCCCTTAGGGAAACCACAATGCTGATGCGGCCCTCAATGAAATTGAGTTTGACACCCCTGGTCTATGAGGTACTTCATCTCATCCTTAGACCCTCAATTGGGACTGGCTTAAGTTGTACTGGGATTAGATTTAGTTTTCCCTTGTTTTACTTCATACTGCCCAGAGAAAGCTTCAAACAGAAAATCTGTTAAGCTTTGCCACCCATTAGCTGGAGGAAAAACTGGTGATTGACAGGAACATGGCACAAAAGCAGTCACTGTAGGACAGGGATCAATGATCAGGTCAGCAAATTTCAGGCTGGGGAACTGCCAGGGGACAGCAGTGTAACTGCATAGCAGGGAACGTATCCTATGAGAAACAGCACACACTTTGTGTTGGTCTGTTCCCTGTGGGAAATGTGTGTATGTGTGGGAGAAACTGAACCACAGTTGGAACAGATATAGTCAAAATATTTTTACTGCCTATCAATAAAAGTACAGAAGGTTATTTCCATTCAGGATATGTATTTTATTGAACTGAATTTATGCACCTATAGTTAGGAATACATTCACATTTATATTTTATTAAAGCAGATGTATTTAGCTAAAAAGTTGGTTTCAGACATCAGTGTTTTTAATACAGTAAGCTACTGTGTGCTTGGGAGAGTTGAACCTTATAGAAATGTATTTCTTCAACCAAACTGTATTTTCAGAGTCACCCAGTTGGTGAGATGGGCAGAATATAAATTAAATAAATAAATACATAAAAGTATTTTTTTTACCCAATATCCCATAGAGCTAATTTTGGTTTCTTTATCTTCCAGTACATCAAAATATATATCTGTAACATGTTAAAATGACATGTTTTGTTCATTTCAGATCGTGAATGGTTATTTTGTCCATTATTTTGCACCCAGGGAAATGGCAGTATTTCCCAAAAATATCATCTTTGTTATAGATCAAAGTGGATCTATGAGTGGCAATAAAATTCAGCAGGTAATTTCTCCCAAAACAGAGCATTTTCTTGAGTCTACTGATAGTTTTTGTTGTATTCCAGGTTTAATTCCAATGAAAATTATCTTATTTCAACAAGCCAGCTTCAGGTATTCTCAGCCTCCTCTCTCTTTTATAGCTGTGAATCAAAAAAGAGCAATGATGATTCAAAATAAACAGCCCTTCTTTTATTCTTTGTAATATTCAGATTTATTTCCTTGTTGGTTTTGCATATATCATTACTTTTGGGTGAATTATTATTATCAAGGTACACATTAGCTTGTCCTTTCTCTGTACCTGTCATTTTGGGTCAGTCGTTTTCTGTTAACTAACCCACCTCACAGGGCTGTTGTCATAAGATGACTTGAGATTTAAGAGGAAAAGTGAAATATAAATCTTGAGAGCAAATAATTGAGCAACTGTCTAAAAGCTTTAGAATGAGCTATGGAAATAATTACCCTTTGAAATTGGTTAAATATTCCATCTTATTTGCAAGCCATTAACAACTGCCTTTGTTTTATCAAAGGCAGGCATTGGAATGATGAAATATATCTTCCTTTGTTTTTTAACTTACATTAAAGGAAAATGAAGTTTCTGTGTCCACAGGTCAAAGGTTATATATATTTTCATTTATTATAATAGTTGTCAAAGTGGTAGCTTTAGGCTACAGAATTTAACAGTGTGTTGTTTTACTCTTTGTTATAGACTAAAGAAGCATTGGGAAAGATTTTGGAAGATCTGGATCCTAAAGACTATTTTAATTTAATTGTCTTTAATTGGCATAGTTCATACTGGAAACCCACTTTGTTGCAAGCCAGCGAGGAGAATGTGGAATCAGCTAAACAGTATGTTCAAACTATTCAGGCTGGTGGAGGTCAGTATGAGGACTAAGAAACTTTGTCCATCTTTACAATACTAGTTTAATCAGGAGTTAACTGGAACTGATACCAAAATATCTTGATTCCAGTTTTTCATATAATTACTTGACATATTTTTGTTAAAAAAATCAAATTATTATTTCTTCCTTCTTATATTCAACATTGTTCAAAGTATTTTAGATTACATTAATAAAAATGAGGATTGTTGCTTTGGGAAAAACAGGAGGTAGGTATATTAGGTATATTAGGAGTCCAGGTGGCGCAGTGGTTAGAATACAGTATTGCTGGCTAACTCAGTCCACAGTTGGGAGTTCAATCCTTCCAAAGTTGCTAAAATGAGGATCCAGATTATTGGGGGCAATATGCTGACATTGTAAACACCTCAGAGAATGCTGTAAAGCATTATGGGATGGTATCTAAGACTAAGCGTTATTGCTATATTTGCTGTCTTGAGTTGATATTTATCTATGTGTCTGTCTATTATCTGTCTGTCTGTCTGTCTGTCTGTCTATGTCTGAATAAAAATTTCAGCTCAGAGATTTTTTTTAGAAGCTTAGAGAGCATCAGGAACTCCACATAAAATCTATACTACTACTACTACTACTACTAATAGTAAAATTCATTCCTCCCTATATTTGATTTTACTTTGATTTTTTCGGAGAGATCAACAAAGTTAGTTTTTTTTGCAGCTGAAGCTATTATTATGAACCATTGCATTTAAACTGCCCAGAGGTTGCTGGGAAGAGCTACAATCTGTGAGTTAAGAGAAAAGTGTGTAGTGGGGTGCCCCAGGGCTCTGTTCTGGTCCCAATACTCTTCAACATCTTCATCAACAATTTGGACGAGGGGATGTGACAGGGGCAAACACACTGTGTGCAATGAGGCTTATCTCCAGGTAATTAGACAGCAACATCACCAGATGGATTTCATAACTGGCTGACCAATCACATTCAACGTGTAGTCCTCAATGAAACCACATCTACATGGAGGGAAGTATGAAGTGGGGCACCCCAAGGCTCTGTTTTAGGCCCAGTACTCTTCAACATCTTCATCAATGATTTGGATGAGGGGATAGATGGGGAACTCATCAAATTTGCAGACAACACCAAGCTGGCAGGAATAGCCAACACTCCAGAAAATAGGCTTAAGATACAGGAGGATCTGGACAGATGTGAACACTGGGAACTATCTAACAAAATGAAATTCAATGGTGAAAAAAGTAAGGGTCTATATTTAAGCAAGAAAAACCAAATGTACAGGTATAGTATAAGTGGTACCTTGCTCAATAGTAGTAACTGTGAGAGGGATCTTGGAGTCCTAGTGGACAATCAATTAAATATGAGCCAGCAGTGTGCTGCAGCTGCCAAAAAAAACAACACAGTGCTAGGGTGCATTAACAGAGGGATAGAATCAAGATCACGTGAAGTATTAATACCACTTTACAATGCCTTGGTAAGGCCACACTTGGAATACTGCATCCAGTTTTGGTCACCGCAATGTAAAAAAAGATGTTGAGACTCTAGAAAGAGTACAGAGAAGAGCAACAAAGATGATTAGGGGACTGGAGGCTAAAGCATATAAGGAACGGCTGCTGGAATTAGGTATGTCTAGTTTAACAAAGAGAAGGATGAGGGGTGACATGATAACAATGTTCCAATATCTCAGGGGCTGCCCCAAAGAAGAGGGAGTCAAGATATTCTCCAAAGCACCTGAAGGCAGGACAAGAAGCAACGGATGGAAACTAATCAAGGAGAGAAGCAACCTAGAACTAAGGAGAAATTTCCTGACAGTTAGAACAATTAACCAGTGGAACAACCTGCCTCCAGAAGTGGTGAATGCTCCAACACTGGAGCACTGGAAAAAGATACTGGACAGCCATTTGTCTGAAATTGTATAGGGTTTCCTGTCTGAGCAGGGGGTTGGACTAGATGACCTCCAAGGTCCCTTCCAACTATATTATTATTATTACTACTACTACTACTACTATTATTATTAATACTATTACTATTATTATAAATTTCCAAAAGGCAAAAAGTAGGGGTCAGTTTGATTTCTGCTGGGAAACAAAACCGTAGTGTAGGTGTTGCCTTTATGAACGATCAACTTCACAAAATTAAGACATCACCAATCTTTTCTCAGGAATGCACAGATTGGCTGGTTCAATTGTAATTGAAGGTGGTATTCTGGAAAATTTTGCTTTTGAATGGCTGGATAGTAGAAATAGTGTCAAAGTGCCTTTATTTACCTGTATTTATTTCATCAGCAATGAGACTTAAAATTGCATCTGATTAAATAGATTTCTTCAAATGTCTTGAAATTTCCTCTCTATGTTTTTTAGAACAATCCCATCACTACTAGCATATTCATTGTTACAATTCTTCCTATTGCAGGAACGAATATTAATGAAGCTCTTTTGACAGCCATTAATTCTCTGGATCAAGCCACCCGTGAGGAGTCATTGCCAGAAAAAAGCATTTCGATGATCATTTTGCTGACAGATGGTGACCCCACTGTTGGTAAGTTAGGAACAAAAAAGCTACCCAGTTCTTATTTCTGTTCTTTGCATTTTATTTATTTTAGTATGTACTTTTGAACAATAACATCATTTTTTTTAAAAAAAAGTAGTTTATTTAAAACAGCATTATTTTCTCCCTCAGTTTTATCTCACTTATTGAACTTCACAATTTCAAATATCCTCAAATATTTCTTCTAACTTCTTTTCCAGTGGTTTTATTCATTCAGCTCCATATCTATGTGCAGTATGTTTGTGTGAAGGTTGGTGAGTGAGTGTGTTGTTAATATGAATGTCACAGGATTGAGGTTGGTGAAAAGAAAGAAAAAAATAATAATTCGCTATTGATAATGTATATAAATCTTTCCCAGTATATTGGAAAACAAACCCTATCATCAACCTTACAATGAGGATCAGCCTAAGAAAAGCATACTGTATGTCTCTTAGCTCTGAAATCCAATCTGTTGATCATTTAAATATTTCAGAAATTGCATCAGCTTCTCTGATCCACAGTAATAATCCATTCTTCGTATTGTTTTTGTAATAATAACACTTTGTAAATCTGTAGCGCAGTCATATTCTATTGCTTCTGTTATTATTTTCACATGCCCATTATTCACTCTTAATCCTTTATTTTGGTTCAGTGATACATCTGACCAAGCTACTTCATGAGGTATCTACTGTGTATGCACATACCATGTTCACATCCTGTCTTTTCAGCAGAAAATGGCACCCAAGACAGCTAATGCTGATAAAGTAGAAAAATTAGCAAATACAATAAATAATTTAAAACAAAAGTAACGCAGATATTTGTGCTTGTTTATACATATAACAGGTGTAACAATCCCTAAACTAATATACAAAAACATAAAGCAAGCCAATCAAGGAAAGTATTTCCTCTACTGCCTTGGCTTTGGATTTGATGTAAGCTATAGTTTTCTGGAGAAGTTGGCCTTAGACAATTCAGGATTGGCTCGACGTATATATGAGGACTCAGATGCAGCCCTTCAGCTCCAGGTAAGAACCCATGTCCAAAACATGTCAGTATCTTTTGACATACATCAGTAGCATGCTAAAAATAATCTTAATTTTCCTGACTGGAATATGCAATGATTTCCTGGTGGTTCTATCTTCCTTTATTTAAGGACTTTTATAGTGAAGTGGCTATTCCCATCCTGAAGGAGATTAATATAAATTACATTGGCAATGCTGTAGAGGATGTCACTGAGAATAACTTTAAGTTGCTCTATGACGGTTCTGAAATTGTAGTGGCTGGAAAACTTGACAATGAAATTGATACTTTTTCCTTGGAAGTAAAAGCTCAGGCGGTAAGTACCATGCAATTACTCCTCGTTAAAAAAGTACAAGAGTTCTGTTTCATAGATGAAATACTGAGTTATGTTTCCAAACTAGGTTCTGAAAAGAAGTAACAGTGTGTTACCTTCAAAATGTTTTAAAAATACAAAATGGAGTGTATCTATGCATGTGTACAAAAAACATAGGTGAACCTGATGCGTTACATATTGCATGATAAAGAAATCTTAAAGCAAACCATGAATGAAAGGACTGTAGCTGCTGCAACAAGTTAGAATCATTTGCAGGTTAAACCAGATTTTGCCTTCACTCTGTGCAAATGTGGCCAATGAATTCAATACTTTGAACATGCAATTCACCATTTCATTTGAGTGCTTTAATTTTAATGTGTATAATCTTTTCTTCCTTGAAGGTAGTAAATTGAAAGGGCCTGTCCTTTCAAATATGTTTTGCAGACTGGAAGTTGATTGGGTATTATATCAATAACTCACCCTGATCCCTTTCCCCGTTTTTCAGCATGGAAGCAATTTGACCCTGAAAGAAAGTGCTAATGTCAAAGAGAAAGCACAAGTTTTTGAACATCAGAAATACATATATGGAAATTTCATTGAAAGTTTATGGGCCTATTTAACCATTCAACAGCTATTAGAAAAGTCGTGAGTGACT